TCCAGAAGAAATCAGTGAGTCACAGAGGCTATTAGAGAACATAGTAAACAGTAACTTAATTAAACGATAATGTTGACAGAATATACGAGAAATTAGGGAACACAAAGAAAGCAGAAGAACATATACAAGGATCTGTGTTAAATACCATTAGCACTAAAAAGAATGAGAAAGCATTAAGAAAAATAATTGAAAACGTGTGTGCACTTCTGACATTAAATTAAGAAAAAGCCAACACCTTGCAATCCAATCTACAGTACATGGCCAGAATAGTTGAATGGAGGAAGTGAATTTTACTCATAAAATAAAATTTCATTTAGACTACAGCAAAGGAACTCCTTTCATTGTACCAAGTGAATTAAAGAAGAAATCATTAACGGAAATTTGCCGTACCTAAACAAATTAAAGTTTGACCATATGTTATTTCACATGTAACACTGACAAGCCCACAGAAGCCGAGAACATAGTGATGGTTACGATGTGTGGGCATGGAGAGACTGAGAGATGCCAATGAGTAACCACCTGTTCCCCTCACATAGTAGTAAATACTGCTGCAGCTCTCATGGTGATGACAGTGATGGATGTAGTGAGCCCAGAGTATTCCAATTTGCTCAGAGGATTGTTTTAGTGTTTTATCCATATATCTGTAATCATTCTGCAATATCAACATTCCAAGTACTTGCATTGTCCAGTTTCAGTGTTTGTGACTTCAATATTTTTTCTTTAACTAGATACAAAATTTTCAGGTTAAGCAAAATTAACATGACCTTAGTTTCATGATGTGTCCAAAGACTCTTACATTTCTCCAATTTTTACAAAGGTATTTTTGTTTGCACTGTATTTATTTCAGATAATATTTTGTATTTTTATGTAATTTACAATGTTTTGTAATTTATAGTCCCCAGCTGTGAGCATTCAGACCACAGGAACCAATATATGAAGTTATTTTGTGTGTTAAATGGTGTTGAGCAATGAAAACGTACAAATTCTTTGAAGATAAAACTTAATCAAGCTTCCACACATAGACTTTAGAAAAAAGTAATGCTATTGTGGATGTTATGAACCCAATGAAGCCTCTCACTGAAAGACCTCTAATCCCCTGGCTCAGTGAGGACTGTATGCTGAATGAATGTTTGGGAGCTATAGAAAAGGTGACTGGAGAGGAGAATATAGGAAAGGGAAATGTTTGCATGGAAGACTTAAATTAAGCTCGTGTTGCATGGCCTCATTCAAATGTCTTGATACCTTCATGAAATACAAATGGAAGGATATCATAAGTATCACTTTCCTGGAATACTTCACCTTTGAATGCCCTCTCTTCCAGAGTAGCTGTTTGTCTCTCTCTTACTTTTCCATTCTCCACCATCAAATCAACCATGCTCCCTGAGTACTGAACAAGATTCTATAGGCATTAATGCTTGCCCTGAAGCTTTCAGTTTTACTTTGTTCCCATTCATTTCTGTCCTCCTATTATTTGCTTTTTCATTGGCAATAGGTGCCCTATGTTTTTGAATATCGATTGTGATTTGCTTTCCTTTTTAGTTTTCTAAGGGGTCACTGCTAAGTGTTTGCAGACTCTCTAGGTCATGGTGCCTGAGATAGTACTGCACTGTTGCATCAGCCGTTGCTCTCCCTCACAACGAATGGGCTCCAAGTTTCTCAGTGAAACAAAGAGCTGCAAGAACTTGGGGCTTCCACAGAAATACACCTCTACATGATCCTATCCAGAGCTACAGGCAGTATGGAAGGACAGTAATGGTGAAGTCATTCCTGCCTTGGGGCAGACCTAAGGTTGGACAGCAGTGACTACCTCAGTCACCATGGTTGTGATTATCAGAGATTCCATGTGAAGACCATGACCTGTTCCATCACTATCACTTTGCCTGATTGAGAGATGGTAACTGATTTTCATGTTACACTTGTTTTCCATCCTCTGGGGACTTGTCCTGTGAAGGTGGGGTCTTGAATAGATTGAAGGGAGTCTGCCAACCTGATGGAGGACTGAAGTAGGGATGGAAGTGATCTGGATCCTGAAAACATGGAGATAATGGAGCTGAGGCTTCCTCCCTCATCACAAGGAGAAAATGAAGTACTCTCAAATACATGAGCAGACACTTCTACTTTGAAGGAAACCTGAACCTCCTCTCCATAAAGAAATCATGGTACTACAACTAAACTAAACATTAAGCATAATTGTGAGACTATACATGTATTCATGTGATATGGTGAAGACCTCTCTTCTGCTCAGGTGATTTCTAGAGTACATGTATAGGCTCCTAAATTCCATCAGAAATAATTTCCCATGGTCAAAATAGTATTCTAGCAAGTGAGGATTAAACATGGGCACCACGTATTGAAGATACTTGCACTCACAGCAGTTACATTCTAAAGAGACAGAGAGCCATGTATGCAATGGTTAGTTAAGGCATGTGATTACAGAAATCATGTGTTACATCAGATAATGTTGAACAGTATAGTAATAATTAAACCAGGAAGGGGAAGAGAATGGAAACATCACACTGCCTTGGAATGTTTCAATTATTAACAGATAGGCACAGGAAAGAATGCCGTAAAGATGAGAATTGAATGAGTGAAGACTGAGTCATTAAGTACTTGAGGACTGAGAGATCAGGTCAACACAGGATGTGTACAGAGGTTCAAAGGCAGGACTCTGTTTAACAATTGCAGGCATCTCTCGAAGAAATATTGGTGAGGCTGCAAAGGAGTGAGAACAAGAGAGAAAGGAGAGGACTTCAGAGATGCAGTGAAACCACATCAGAGTAGAAACATGTGCCCAAACAAACTTTGATTTTTAGTCTGAGTGAGGAGAAAATTGAGCAGATTTTATTAAAATATTCACATTACATCAGGCTCTTCCATGGAGAACAGGCTATTCATGGCTATGATAGAACAAGGAAGAAGGCAATAGAATACTGCAAAGAAGGGGATGGTGGGTCATACCAGGGTGATTCCTCTGGTGATGTAGTGTGGCAGATAAAGGTCAGTCATGCATAGTCCTCACAGTGAGTCTGTTCTTTAAAAATGGAGAGTATGTAAATCCCTAGAGTGGGAGCATTTTGTGAAAATATTCCATTGACATACTGAGAAAGCTTCCATATACAGGAAAGAGTAGTTAATTTATGTTGGATATGAAGGGTGTAGTGCCACACTCTTATAATGTTAGCACTCAGGAGGCTGAGACATGAGGATGGTTTCAAGTTCAAGGCTTAATCTGGGCTACTAAGTGAGCTTAAGGCTGGCTTGAAATGCATAGAAGACCTTGTCTCAAAAAGATAAAAAAAACCAACAAAAAACAAAAAAATTATATTGAATGAGTTTTCCTTCTTTACATTTTGTAATATAGAAATAATTTTCATGACATGTTGACTTTCCAATAAGCAGTAACTCTTGCCTGTTTTGCATCCAGATACAGTATCCTAGAATTGTTTTTGTCTTATTCATTGGTAAACACAGTTGGAATGCCAGGACTCTCATGGTTTAAATTCAGATGCTTGGTTTGGATATATTAATATCACCCAACACATCACAATTGGTATAGAGCATGAGAACAAACTAGTGGAGAGCAAGTCTTAAGTCCAATGATTTGAAATTGAGGAAAGCAGGTAGAGCATGTGAAGATGGTGTTGAGGGTTTTGTCCTTAGAGAGGTACTCAGTGGCTACCGTTGGTTTTCCCCTAGAGTGTTATTTTATATGACAAGTGTTGATGGAGGCTCTCTGAAATATATTCATGTGCAGAAATTCAATAAAGAGTAGTCACAGAGACAACTCATGTATATAGGTTCCTAAAGAAAGGTTTGATACATTATGCAGGTCATTTGCTCACATACCTATTGTTGGTACTAGTTTCTTAGTGTAGATACAATTGACCTGACATCCAGAATTTAAGAATAAAAGATATACCAGCTCAGTGTTTCAGAAATTGAAGTCAGTTATTATTAGAGTTGAAAGCAGAAACATCAGATTGGAAGACAACGAGAAAGGAAAGGTAGCTAGAATATGAGAAGCAGGAAGCTCAGAGTCAAACGTGTGGCAGTGAGGAAGTGGTAGGGAGAAGGTATGGTCCCAGTGTCACATGTCCATGCCTCAACCCAACACACACAGACTCACTGATATCCTATCCACCTCTCAAGCCTAACAAGACATGGATTAAGAATATCACATGATTCCAGGTAACATTTCACTTGCAGGATTAGGAACCTGTTGAAAGATGGAGAGTTTCAACTTGTGCAGAGAGAGATGTAGGAAAAGGAAACAAACAGTCTGAAGTCTTTCAGTTTCCCTGCCTGGACACCATGAAATACATGAATCCCATTATTGCATTCCCCCTCTGGTGTATATATTTACCTACTTCCATTAAAATAAGTAAATTGAGATATACTCCGTGAAGAAGTCTTTGCCATGAAGAAAACTACCTTACTACCACTCACAGTGTCTAGCCCTCTCTCCATTTGTTGTGTTCTGGGATTGCCTGAACTCGTATGTTCTTTCACAATATTTCTCTATGGTATTTTTAACTCTGGGATGATCCTGAGACATTTGTGACCCCATTTTAAGCGGCAACACCCAGAAAGAGTTCCCTGAGTTTAGTTAAAAGACAAGAGGAGCCAGTGATGGTCGTGAGTGCCTCTAATCCCAGACCTGAGGAGGCTGATGCAGGAGGATCACGGGTAGAATTTACAACATATGGAAAGCACACTAAATCCCACTGAGATACCCTGTCCTAAAAAATGTGCTGCTCTGCAAAACCTGGAGAAAACTCTGCTCAAAGAAAGGTTAGTGCGGGTCAGCATAAGAAATAGATCTTGAAAACTCTTGGCTCCACTCTACCACTTGAGTTTTACTTAATCTTGTAAGGCTTGGTTTTTCTTGTCAGTCTTAGCTGAGAGGCCGAACCAAGGAGCAGGAGCAAATCAGTGTTGAGGGGCGGGGCGTGCGGACTGTCCAATCAGGTGGGCCGAGGGAGAAGGATGTGTTTTCCAGAGCGGAAGTCCAGAACCTGAGCACGCTGCTAGGAGTGCGGCCAGCCGGTAACTTTCTTGCTCTGGGATTTCTGCTGGCTAGAGGCTGTACGAGAAGGACCGTGGAGAGCCCCTGAAGCCACACATGGTGAGCTTGTGAGATTGGTGCCCTGAAATGGGTCGGGAGGGGACTGGACTGAGGTCCGGATGGAGGAGGTGGGAACTGCAATGGTGGCTGGAACCGCTCTGCCCGGACCGTTGCTGTGAGCGCCCCCTATCTATAGTGCTGTGTGCCCTCTGTTCCACCTTCCCAGGCTGAGGCAGGTACGTTTTTTTGTACTCAGCCCTCTGTTTTAGCAGGGCCACGGGGCCAGCTCAGAGTGCAGTGTCAGGCAGCCATGGGCCACAATTGCCTCATCAGCTGAACTTGGAGAGTGGGAGTTGTGCACAGACCTTGTTGAGAGGAATAATGAGCTGGTGGAGCTATGGTGCGCTGCTCCTGATCCCATTCCCTGATGTTTGCCTTGCATAGAACCTTGAACTCAGGACTTTTACTCTCAACTGGATTTTACATGGTATTTTAACCTCTTTTTTTTTTTAAACACATTGATATCGAGGCTAAGTTGCCAGGATTTATTGAATCTGTTTGTTTGATTCTTTGGTTTTGTTTGTGTTGTTTGATTTTTGAGATAGGGTCTAGCTATGACGTTCAGGCTGGGCTCAAGACTTACAATGCAGTGCAGCTGCCAGAAAGTCAGGAGATTCTTTTGCCAAAGATTGGCAGGTGCTGCGAATTACAGACATACACTACCTTACCTGCTTACAGTCAACTTTTGAGCATGACTCAGTCTCCAGGACAGCTGGGATGACAGACATGTGACACCCTGCCTGACTAAGATGGGGTGGTCTGTCACCATTGGTTTTCCTTTTCATGTTTTTTTCGGTTTTAAACACACCGCTGTTCACCAGCATTACAATGTTTTGTTAAAATGAAAATTCATAGATGCAGTGTGGTGCCCAATTTGCATGTCAGTCATTTGGGACACTGAGGCGAGAGTGGCTATACCAAGGCCAACCTGGAAGTGGGGCAAGACCCAGTAAAACATAATGTAAGAATAGTGGGGCTGTGTCTCCATTCTATAAGGAACTTGTAAGGCATGCATAAGGCCCTAAATTTAAAGTACAGTGCTGAAGTATTAAAAATTGATAATCATTCAGTTAAAATATACTTCTGTTATTGACATATAGGAATGTCAAGCAGATACTTCTGAGTCACCTCTTGTAAACCGATATGAACCACCATTTAGGTAAAAGCACACACTTTACTAAGCTTATATTGAGAATTATTGCTTAGCAACATCTTTAGCATGTTTACTGACATGTAGAGAGCTGTAAAAAATTTTCAACAGTGTGCAAAACTTAACGTGTATTTTGCCAACTAAGTACATACATTTGTGAGCAAGATTGTCTTATCCCATTGCAGTAAGGCTTTTGCCACTCTGGAGTGCAAACTGTACACAAAGGTGATTTTTGAAAGCAATTTAGATTTGCAGAGTAGTAACAAGAATCACGGTTGATTACGTTAAATTGGCTTTTAAAATTTTTTAATTTTACCATCAAAAAATAATAAATACGATGGTACAAAATTTCAAAAAATAATGTACCATAAAAGATGGTCAATATATTATGTATTGTTACCTTCATAGTTGTTATTCTGATTACAAAAGATAGGCATAGAAATGATAAAACAATGAAAGCATAAATTGTTCCTTTTGAAGAGCTAACAGAGATTAGTGGTATAATTATCTATGTTATGTGAATATGTATGTACATATATGTATGATATATATATGATCATTTCCTTCCTTTCTTTGCATTGTATTTGAAACAGAACATTTTCAAAACTAAGTCGATTACATAATAGTAGTTTGCACAACCAGAAATATAGAAAATAATTAAAAGCAGATATGTAAATACATATGAATTGCCTAAGACATAGCTTTTTAAATATTTTTTTGAGAAAGGGTCTCACAAGGCAGTTGGAAAACCTGAAACTTGGTATGTAGTTCATGCTGTGCTCAATTTTGTGGCAATCCTCCTTTTTTTGTCATCCCTAATACTAGAATTACTGGCATATCCCAGCACAGGCTGCTGAGACTTAAATATTTTTTTGAAACTAATTATAAAAAGAGTGGAAAACACTAGAAATATTTAGAAAATTTAAAATATCTTTTTAAAAGGACTGTTGCACATTTAATTAAGGAAAGATCAAAAATCAAAGGCTTTTTTGAAAAGAAAGGTACTATCATTGTCCCTATTTTAAATTTTAAAAAAGTTTTTGGAAGAAATTCTCTAATGACTGATGTTTCTCTGAAGATTTACTCTGTCAAGATATCTGATCATCACGAGTGTGGAGGCTCACGCCTGTAATCCCAGCACCCGGGAGGCGGAGGCAGGAGGATCATTGTGTGTTCGAGACCAGCCTAGACTACAAAGTGAGCTCATGGCCAGCCTGAACCGCACAGCGAGACCCTGTCTCAAAAAGACAAAAAAAAAAAAAAGATATCTGATCAATTCATGAGAAGAATGTATGTTTCACATTATTATATAAATATTTCATCACATACATAGGTTATCAGTTATTGGCAGCTTCTTATCAACCTTGATTTGTACTCCATGGTGTGTCACTTATAGATAGGAACATCGTATATATTCAAAGAATATATCAGATACTTGAGAAACTTATTTAACCATATTTTTTTAAATAACAGTTTTTCTGGATAAAAAAACCTGATTTTTTAAACAACTGAAAAATTGTTAATTTAATCAAAGTATCATTTTGAAAGGCTGGGTAATATTCTGTTGTAAAAAGATTACAACTTGTTTATCCGGTTCTCTGTTGATGTGTATTTCAGTTATATTCAAGTTTTAGCTATTACAAATTGTATTGCTATGAACATGGGTACACTTTCCCACTGTGACATGATGTTTTTAACTGTTCTAGGAACATACTCACAAGACAAATATTTAGTTAGAATGGACCTCTGGTATGACTTTTGAGGAATCTCCATACTGATTTCCACAGTGGGTAGAGCAGTATCCACTCCCACCAGTAGTGTAGAAGAGTTTCTTTTTCCCACATTCCCTCCAGCTATTGTTACTGGTTGATTTCATGATGAATACCCATTCTTTCTGGAGTAAGAAGGAATCTCAATTTTCTTTTCATTTGTACCTCTTAAAGGATCAATGATGTTGAATTGTGCCATGTATTTGCCATTTGTATTTCTTCATCTGATTAGTGTGTATTCATTTCAGATGCTGATTGTCAGATTGGGTCATTGAACTTTGGGTGATTTGATTTTTTTCTATTGTTTCTGTGTTTTAGAGTTAAGTCCTTTGTCTGAGGGACCAGTTGGCTAAGGATTTTTGTCATTATTGGCTGTGCTGTCTTTTTCACTCTTTGGGTGCATTCTCTTGTGTGAAAACTTTTTGATAAGATGACCACCCAGTTGTTGATTCTTCATAGTATTTCCCATGCAATCTGGATTTTCTTCATGAAGTCTGTGCTTAACACTATGTCTCCAAGATTTGAAACTAATTTCTCTTCCAATAGATTTGGTGTTTCTGTGTTAATATTTAGATCTTTAATTCATTTTGACTTCAATTTAGAGTATGATGATAAACATCCCATTTTAGTTTTCAGCATGTGGATAGCCAGTTTGTCTAGCAGATTTATTGTAGAGGCTATCTTTCTTCCAGTGCACATGTTTAGCCTCTTTGTCAAGAATAAAGTCACTGAGTGTGTTTGGAGTTGTGTCTGAATCTTGTATCAGTTACAATGATCCTAGGGTCTATTCTTTATTGTGCTACTATGCTGATTTAGTCACAGTAGCTTTGCAGTAGAATTTCAAGTAAGGAATTGATGACCCTGCTTGACCTTGGTTGTCCAGAATTGCTTTTGCTATTGCTGGTCTCTTCTATTTCCAAATGTAATTTTTGAATGTTTGCTCTAGTCCTTTGAGATATGGTAATGGTAGTTACTCAGAATTGCTTTAACTCTGTATAACACATTGGGGACAGCGGGCATTTTCAATATGTGGGTTCCTCCTGTCCATGATCCAGGGATATGTTTCTAATTTGGATATGCTCTTCAGTGTTCTTTTTCAGGGTATTAAAATTTTGAATGTATAGATCTTTCACTGCCTTTGTTAGTTTTATTCCCAAGGATTTTATTTTCGGGGGAATGACATTGTGAAGTGTGTGATTTTCTATTTTCTCTAGAATGAGTATGTTGTTTGTGTACAGGAAAGCTATTGATTTTTCACATTTGTCTGTATACAACTAAACTAGTGAATTTGGTTATTAAATCTACAAATTTGTTGGTGGAGTGTGGTTTCTTCTATGCAGAGAATCATTTCATACATGAATATTGAAATTTTACTTCTTTCTTTCTGATTCTCCCTTTTATTTCTGTCTCTTGTCTGATTGCTCTGGTTAATATCTCCAGAACTGTGTTAAACAGTAGTAATGATAATAGACATCCTTGTCTGGTTCCAGATTTTAGAATGCAAGCTTTCCGTTTGTGACCGTGCATTATGATGTTACCTGTTTATTTGTCATAGGTATTTTTTTTATCAGATTGAGATAAAGAACACCTATTTCAATTTTCTCTAGGATTTTATCATGAATGAGTGTTGGCTTTTATGACATATTTGTCTTAATTTATTAAGGTTACCATGTATTTTTGTGTTTGACTATGTAAATCTCCTGTACTATATTTACTGATTTGTGTATGTTGAACCATCCCTGCATCCCTGGGATGAGCCCTGAGTTTATCATGAATTGTGATCTTCTTCAGGATCCACTGCATTCTGTTTCTCAGTATCTTACTGAGAGTTTGGTTCTATGTTCTTAAGGGAGATTGTGCTGTATCTGAGTTCTTCTGTGGAGTTCATATCAGGGTAATACTTGCTTCCAGGAATTAATTTGAAAGTACTACTTTCCTGGAAAATGTCAGCATAAGTGCCGTTATGTTTTTCATTAAATTTCTTGTCAAATTTAACTGTGAATCCATCAAGACCCATACTTGGCTTTATTGGTAAGTGGTTAATTGCATTTTCAATTGCATTAGCTGAGATCAGGTTACTTAGAATTTTTATCTGATTTTTGAATCAGTTTTGGCAATTCATGTGTACCTAGAAATCTGACCATTTCTCTTGTGTTTTCCATCCTGTTACACTACAGATTTACTAATTAGTATTAATGATCAGGATTTCTATAGGATCCACTGTGATTTCCTCCTTTTTATTTCGAATTCCTTGAATTGGAGTCTTTTTCTCTTTTTGATGCATTTGGATAAGGAATTATCAATTTTATTTAATTTTTCAAAGAACGAACTCTCTGGTTCATTGATTCTTTGTGTTTTTTACATCCCCATTGCATTCATTTCTGTTCTCATTTTCTCTGTCCCGTGATGTTTGATTTATTTTTTGTCTAGAAATACGAGGTTCGACTTTCATGTTTTGGAGAATTAATTGTTATAAATTGTCCATCTAGACTGATTTCTTTGTGTCCTATAAGTTCTGGCATGGTTTATCAACATTATCATTTAATTAACTTCCTGTTCAATATGTTCTCTAATAGCCTCTGTGACTCACTGATTTCTTCTAGAGAGTGTTGTTTAATTTCCATGTGGTTATGAAGGTTTTACATTTTTTTTACTGATGGTTTCCAACTTGACTGCACCATGTTCATGCATGGCATGATTTCAGTTCCTCTACTTTTACATAAGCATGTTTTTGGCCTAATTTGTGGTCTATTTTGGAGACCATCCCCTGTGCAACTGAAAAGAATGTATATTCTTGTGTTGCAGGGTGGAACACTATGTAGACATCTACTAAGTGCATTTGTTCACAGGTTTATGTTATGTTACATGGTAGTTATAATTATTTTTAAATTTTTTAGTCTTTTTGAGAAAGAATCTCACTATGCAGTTCAGGCTGGCCCTGGTCTCACTTTGTAGCCCAAGTTGGTCTTGAACTTGCAGTGATCCTCCTTCCTCAGCCACCTGAGTGCTACCATTATAGGAGCACCTCACCATGCCCTGCTTACTGGTTGTTGATTTTTTTTGATACTTGATCTATCTGTATGTGAGAGTGGGATATTGAGATCCCTCATTGTAGTTATGTTAGTGGTTATTTGATTTTTTTGTAACTGTTCATATTTGTTTTATGCATTCGTATGCACAAATATTCCACTCATATACATTCATGATTTTTTACCACTTCTGCTTATAGTTTTCCCTGAACCAGTATGTAGTAACTGTCTTTCCCTCTTGATTCCAGTCTTAGTGCATCTTTCCTTGTCATGTCAGTATCTTATTTCTTCATTGATATTGAAAGATAGTTTGCCAGATACGTCAATTTCAGTGGGATGTTGTTTTCTTGTAGGGCTGAAAATACCTCACTGCCAGGACTCCTTCATTTGAAGATTTATGTTAAGAGATGTGCTGTGCTTTGATAAGCTTTCCTTCTTGGTGTTTTGTTTGTTTTCTCTAACCAATTTTACTGTTGTGTTCTTGTGCTGAAATTCTGGAATCTTGACTATCAAATGCTTTGTGCAGTATTATTTTCTTTCTTTTTGAGTAGTACCAGGGATCGAACTCACATCTACGTGCTTACAAGGTAGGCTCTTATAATACTGAGCTAAATTCCCAGCCCTGTGAAGTATTATTTTCATCATGGCCAATTGAAATTACTATGTTTCATTTATTCCAATGTTAAATTGTTTCTCCATGCTTGAAACTACCTGCCATTCTTTCTGTGAAGAGTTTTATTATGGCTTTTGTGATGACTGACTGCAGTCCATTTTGTGTTGTTCTAATTTTTGGCTATTGAATTGAGTTTTTTTTTGGTCTCTTGTTGTTTCAAAGATAGATTGCTTTTCAAGCTTGTTAACCCAATACTGTCTTCTAGATCTGATAGTATATGGTGGCTTCCAGTGAGTCTGTTACAAATACTGTCTTATTTTTTAAATGTTATTTAAAGAGAAAAAAAAGCAAAACAGAAAAAGGGTAGAAATAATATAGAATTTCAAAAAAATTAATAGTAAGAAATCACTAGTTGAAAAATTACATACTGTCATCTTACAAATAGTTGTTCAAGTTATAAAATTAAAACATACAAAGTGGACATTGAAACAGTGAGACAATGAACAGTTCTGTTCAATGATCCAACAAAAATTCTATTTAGATTTTAGTCTTCTGGATTTGAGTTTCAGTCTGTCTCCTAGATTCCATTTGTTTGCTATGTTGGGCATGTATGATTTCTATCATTTTCTTGAGCTGATCTGTTTTTCTACTTGGTATCTCATTCAGTGTCTTTCATTTTGTTTGACATTTCCATTTGCAACATAGAGATTATTTTTTTCTTTAGGATCATCCATTGTGTTCTTACATATGTTGTTCACATTTCAGAAATTTCTTGTCATGGGCTTCTGATTTCCTCTATCTGATTGTGTGCTGGACTTGTCCTTCTTTGGCTGGGCATGTTCGGTTGCATTTTGTTTCTTCATGTTTTCATTTTCTAACTCTTATTTTTTTTTGTTTTATGTGTTAGTGTTTGTACATTTCTTATGGTAGATAGGTTTATCACTAGTATTCCCAGGAACTGTCTGTTTCTCAGGGATGTCTTCTCTCTACAGGTGTTTGTGGGTCTTTGTCTTGATGTTGAGAACCTACCTTCCTAATGTATTAAGGATGAGAAGTTGCTATGCATTGGGCTCAGCACCTAATCATTTAGCAGTGGACTCTATTGATGGTTGTTACCCCATGCAATGGAAGTGTTGTTTTATGAGGAAGTTAAAATGATAACAGGTGTATCATACTGTTAAATTAATACAGGTATCACTTACAATAGCCTAAAACAATCATGGCGAATGACATACAATAGCCAGATCCTTTTAACTGCAGGAGGGATTTCTACCTTTATATAAGACACTGTGACATTTACCAGGAAACTGGATACAATGACTTTCTTCTTAATGGAGGGATTTTACTGTCTTGTCTGGGAGAGCTAAGAGGGACTGTGGCAAGAGAGAGAAGTAAATAAAGTCAAACACACTAGGAGCAAGGCTGAAGGGAAAAACATCCAAGTTTGGGGAAACTAGGGGGCCTAGGCGGAACAGCCTTGAAAAGAAAGCAAAGGATTGTCAAAGTGAACTTGATGGAAAAGAAACAGTAATTATGCACATGAATGTTCTGCAAAATCAGCAGTATATATAAGGAAAGAGAATAAGAACCTCAGTAAAAGATAGCAAAAACAATGATAAAAAGTCTAAATCTTGAAATTAAAAAAACATTAAAAAAGTATCCAGCAAAAATAAAGCACAACCAACAACAGAAAAGATAACATAGCAACAAACAACCAAATGGGAAAAGCAAAACCAATCAAACAAACAGAGAAGTAGTAAAGTAGTAAAATTCCTCTGGTTCAAGAGCAAAGAGTTCAAGAGCAAAGACTGGTTTCTGTGGTAGGTCCAAGTTGGATTTCAGAAATGTTTTGTACTCTGGCTAAATGTGCTGTGGGATTTGTGCAGAAAACGGTTGCTGGTCTTGGCCTCCAAATGTGGGACTCAGACTGGTTTGAAGTTCTGCTTTGAAGTTCTCCCTGAGCTCTTAGATAAAAAATGGTGGCCCTTTCTGTGCACTCCTATTCCATGGGTTTATCTGAGGAAGGATATAACACCTATTACCTAAGTTAGCACATTTTTGCTCATATTGTCACTACTGTGACAAATTTGTTATTTCACTGGCTCTACCTGCACATCATCTATGATGCTGTTTTGGCCTTGTTGAGTCTCTGGGGTTTGCCCTTGGACTAGGTGCCAGGATCACAGTGGCTCTTGATGTTCCCAGGAGGAAAACATCAAGGGGATGAGAAAATAAATAAAAGATGAAAGCTAAGATCAGGTGGAGCGCTCTCACCTGATGGGAGGAAAGGAAGTACTCCCCCAAAGCAATGAATTTATCATATGCATTTAACAACTTATTGTCAAATGACAAAACGTTGCCAAATATCTGCGTGTGCGGCAAGCTAAGGGCTTTAGATTTTTGTGCCTGGAATCACTTGCTTTTGTAGCTTGACCTGTGCAGTCTTTGCTCTTGAACTCGGCTTTTCTCACGCCCACATGTGTAATCTTAGATTCCACTTTCAGTTTCTTGCAACAGGTAGGCAAGCAACAATGACCTGCTGGGGCCTTTCTGCTTTGCTGTTGTCCCCATGCAGGCTGGAGATACATGTGGTACCCCAACTGGGCTGAATTGTCATGTCCTCATTTCAGAGGTTTATGAGTTAAGGTGGTTCAAGGTGTCAGGAGTCCCAGTCTGCCTCCTTTGTTGTTTTAGGAGACAGTGAGCTTTGCAGATGTGGCTGTGAACTTCACCGTGGAGGAGTGGGGTTTGCTGAATTCCTCGCAAAAGAAGCTTTACAGAGATGTAATGTGTGAAAACTTTAGGAACTTGGCTTTTGTAGGTAAGAAAAGTGTCATTTAATCTATGGTATCTGAGACAATGGGATATTGCACATCAGTACAGACTCCTTAATTGCTGATGGAGAGATCTTAGTGCATTTTCCAGTGATACTTGCATTATGCTATGAATCTAACGGGCATCTGTTAATTTTTGTGTTATGTAGTTGTTCATTATTATATTTCTGTTTGTACACTTTAGGAAAAAACTGGGGTGAGCAGCAAATTGAACTTGAATACAAAGAATACAGGAGAAGCATAAGGTAATTGTCACTCTGAAAACATGAATGTTCCTGAAGAATCAGGCTATGAGTAGAAACAGTGAAAACAATATCTGATTTTTTCAGTCTCAAGAAGTTCCTTATATGCATACATTGTGTTTCGACTGAAGAGCAAGTGCAGGATATGTAATCAGGTATATATGTGAGTGTGTTTAAAATGCCATTTTCATGGGCACCAATTTATGTAAGCAGTGCTGTCTCTACTTAAAAGTAATAAACACACTGAACATTCCTCAAAGTGTTAATCTCATGGTCATGTTGAAAAATCAAACAAATGTCATGATGTTGATAAACAGATCTTTTTAGAAAATCATCCACATCCTTCAGTGTACTCATGTTCCAAAATATTAGGACACGCCATTCTGTACACTTGCTGGGTAACTCATAAAGCACAATGTTAATGCGAAAGTGTGTAGAAATTTTTGAAAAGGGTGAAAAGATAAATTCCATTTTCCCTGGAATAGTGGTGTATACCTACTTTCGCAACTCTCAGGACATCATTGAAGGAGGATTGCCATTAGGTAGTGGTCATCCTGCTATACACAGTCAGTGCTACCTTGAACTATATGTCGTGATGATGTCTACAGAAAAGAGAAGCTCTTTTATCCAACTGTACTTCCCTGGTATCTTCCTGTCAAGGCTAAAGTAATCATATGATGATAATGTATACATACTCATCTTTGTAGCTGCAGAATGTACAGTATCTAAGCTGAGGAAACATCCTATATTGTCATTCACAGATGGATATATTAAAGCAATGGAAAAGATTCACATGAATCCTAATACTGTGAATATGTGATAGGAAACATAAATTCAAGCTTAGCCTGTGTAACAATGTTTGACAATAGTGTGTTAAAATAAAAATAATAAGACCAAGGTGTAGCTCAGTGCTAAAACCCTGCAGTCTATCTCCAGTACTGAATGAAATATCATGTGTCTCCCTTCATGAAGAATACTCAGCCATCCTTACCCATGACATGATATCACTTAAAAAAGGTGTCTGGATTCTGTAATCATAATCTTATGCCTGATATGTGAGACATAAATATCAGTACCAATTATAATTTGTATAAAAACTCAGACACATGAATTAGGAGCTAAAATAAAGGGTGGAACTGTAGAAAAGTGAGCAGTAGATGGATTAGAGAATCTTAAGAGATTCAGTGGAATGTTGCAGGAGTTCAGTTCTGGAAGAAAGGATATCAAAAGTACAACACGTGTGGTATACATACACACACACACACACACACACACATATATGTTACACAAGAGGAATTACTCAAGGTAAATTGTTCTTTATTGCTGTCATGTGAATTATAAATAAAAAATGTACATGATGGTTTGGCAAATGCTCTTTTCAAGAAATTATTCACAGTATATGGTCAATTCATGGTCACATAGTTTTAGAAGACAACAAACCAGATTCCCTCATAGTAAATCATTAATAAAATAAAGTGACTGTTAAATGTGCTAAATCGTATTTTCTCATTTTTCTTTTACTTAAGGGAAGAAGCAAAGAAATGTTTACAATATAAATTATGGTATTTGCCAAATATGGATGTGAGACTTTGGACTCCAGATATTAATAAGCCCATGGAATCAATCAACAGAAAACCAAGTGAACATTATGTTTGCAGAATACCCTTCATTGGTAAAATATTGCCCAGAGTTCACTTTGTAGCTGACACTAGATTCAAATCACATGGGTATCAGGAATCTGACGATGGGAAAACCTGCACTGACCTCCACTGCTTTCACAAGCATACAAACAAAATTTCTGGAGAGAAATTCTATGCATGTAACCAAAGTTTAATATGCTACTCTGATTCTCCTGAAGGAAGCAGTACTGAAGAGAAATCCTTTCTATTTGAGAAAGATATGAAAGCCTTCCATATATCCCAATGTCATCAAATAGGGGAAAGAAATCACAGTGAAGTGAACAAACACTTATATATACAATATGAAAAAGATTTTAATTCTCACCATGATATTCAGATACATAAAATAGCTGACAATGTAGAAAATCACTCTGTGAGTAAACAGTGTGTGGCAGTATTCAATAACATTTCATTTGAGAAATGCAAAAAAATGCACAGTGTGAAGAAACTGTATGTATGTAAGCAATGTATGAAAATCTTCTTCTCCAGCAGTATTTGTAAAAGACATGAAAGAACTCACACTGGAGAGAAACCATATGTATGTACACATTGTGGCAAAGCTTTCAAGAGATGCAGTTACTGTAAAATTCATGAAAGAACTCATACTGGTGAGAAACCATATGTATGTATACATTGTGGAAAAGCTTTCAATAGATGCAGTGACTGTAAAAGTCATGAACGAACTCATACTGGTGAGAAACCATATGTATGTACACATTGTGGAAAAGCTTTCAGTAGATGTAGCGATTTTAAAATTCATGAACGAACTCACACTGGAGAGAAACCTTATGTATGTACATATTGTGGAAAAGTTTTTAGTGCACACTCTTATTGTAAAGCACATGAAAGAACTCACAGTGGGGAGAAACCGTATGTATGTTATCAATGTGGGAAAGCTTTCAGCTGCTACAGTAATTGTAAAACTCATGAAAGAGTTCACACTGGGCAGAAACCATATGTATGTACACATTGTGGAAAAGCTTTTAGAAGACATACTTCTTGTAAAAATCATGAAAGAAGTCACACTCGGGAAAAACCATATGTATGTAACCAATGTGAGAAAGCCTTCACCTCATATAGTGCTCTTCAAAAACATAAAAGTATTCACACTAGAGAGAAGCCATGTTCATGTGACCAATGTGGAAAAACATTTATTTGCCAAAGTGAATATAAACGACATCAAAGCACTCATACTGATGAGAAACCCTATGTATGTAATCAATGCGGAAAAGCATTTAAATCCCCAAGTAGATGTAGAGAACATCAAAGAACTCACACTGGAGAGAAGCCCTATGTTTGTAACCAATGCGGGAAAGCCTTCACCAGACACAGCTATTGTAAAAGACACGAAAGAACTCACTCTGGGGAGAAACATTATGTATGCAATCAATGTGGGAAGGCATATACCAGACATGATCAGTATAAAAGACATGAAAAAATTCACACGGAGAGAAAACCCTATATAAGTAGCTAGTGTGGGAAGCCTTCACTAGACAAACTTTGTAAAACACATGAAATAAGCCATTTTAAGGAGAAAGCATAGGTATGTAAAATGTGAGAAAGCCTTTACTAGACAAAGTCAGTGTAAAAGACATAAAAGTACATTGCTTAGAAACTCTTTCTATGTAAACAATATTGGTAAGTTTTTAACAGAAACATTGTCAAAAACATGAAAGATGTGACTAAGGGGAAGCTCTGTGTATATAAGTAATGTGGAAAAGGTTTCAGAGAATACACTCATTTCCAAAGGCTTGAAACTTCTAGGGTACAAAGGTTACATGTTTACATTGTTTGGAAATGCATAAACTACACATAGATATTGTGAAGTTTGTGAAAAAAGAATGGTCCAAAAACCCTTCAGCTATTTAGTAATTATCATAGACTTAAAAATGTAAGAGAAATCATGTGAATCTGTTAAGGTAATTTGTACAAACATTGAAACACCTTAAGAGAAGTCTAAGAATGTGAAAACTTTCAATGCATAGAGAAATGACTACATATATGGAGGAGTAATTAAAGAAGAGAATCTTAGCATTTATGAACATTGTAGGAAGATTTTCTCAGTGCTTTCAAATACATAAATATTTTCATGTGATCAAAGCCTCATATATGTAGTTAATATGGGAAATCCTTCAATTTTTCCATATTAAAGTAGATGAACAAATTCCTACTAAACAAAAACGCTATGTGAATAATTTTAGCATTATATAATTCTCGTAATATCAGAAAACATGCATGCACACAAAGGAAGAGTACATATAGAGCATTTGAATTGTCCTTCTATACAACTGACCTTTCTGTGATATATAGTAATTCATAGTGCAGAAATACATATCAGTATATGTTTTTGAGCATATACCTAATCATGCTTTCTTTCATACTTCAAGTGAAGAATGTCCTGTGAGAATCCATTAAAAATGGATACGGAAATCTGTTAGATGTAGAATACTGTGTGTGCTATGCCTATGAATGTGCAATGTTTTCAGTTATAGCTCAGTTTTAAAATCTTTTGAATGTTTCTCAAGTGGTGCACATATATACAAGTCATAAAACTGGATCTCTATTATTTTCTTTAAAGTCCAGAAATAGGAGTGATACCCTAAAATGTAAATATAGTAAACTGATTATTGAAGGAGATCTCTGGAGTAGATATCATAAGTTGCATTTTGTGAATTTACATTGTACTAACATAAATGTATATGTTATTGTAAGGAATACCATAACGTTTTGTTTTGCCTTTACTGAAATTGGGTCATAGTTTATTTTGTACAGTGGTGTAAGTAAAAGTAACTTTCTATGTTCCTTACATATTATGAAGCTTAGAAGTTTTATAGTTATTTTTATCTTCTTTGATTTTGCTTTTATTGAGGGATAAAATTACCCCTAAACTGAGCTGTTGTTAGGTTTTCTCATTTTGTACTACATTCCATTTATCCGATATGTGCACATTAGTCCATTTTTCAAAAAGGATTTTGATATTAAAATGCTTTATGATTATAATCATATTTTGTACTGTTTTCTACTCATTCTCCTGTTTTTCTTTTTTTTAAAAAAAGATTAAGATACAGGAGGACATAGCAAAACAGGTCAGAACAGAACAATTTAAGTAATGTAGTGTTTCACTACAAGACAACCCAACATAACAGTAGCTACCATAGTGTCTTTCCTTGAAATATTTGAGTATAACTTCATACACTATAGTATCAAACATAACAAGACAGTATAAAACCATTCAAGAGAATAAAAGTATTACAGGGTATTCAAAGCCAACTAACAGAAAATGAACTATGGTTACTATATTATTTCCTTGTCCATAAAATTTTTTGTTTATACTATCACATATAATAAAATCCAATAAGATACAACATGATAAAGCTGATGGAGACAGAAGAATAAAAGCTTGGTGGGACTTCAAAACAAGATGATATTATATCAGCACGAAATATTATAATGTCTTGTTTTCCTCAAAATAGCTATTCATACCATCACAGACAATAAAATCAAACAACCCAGAATAAAACCATCCTAACTAATGAATGAACATTATAAGGCTTCAAAGCAATACAATGGGGAATCATGATAGCCACATATTTTTATATATTCTTACCATTTCTTACACTAGGGAGATTATTGGGTATTTATATATGTGAGTTTGATTTATTTCACTTATGGGTATGGTCTCAAGCTGTATCCATTTATAAGTATCTCAATGTGATCCTTCTTTATAGCTGAATAGTATTCCATTGTATAAAAATACAACCTTTTTATCCATTCCTCAGTACATGGACAATTAGGTTGTTTCCAGAATCTGACTATTACAAATTGTGCTGCTATAAATATCACTGTGGTATGATGTTTTCAGTTTTTCTGGGTATATGCCCAGAAGTGGAGTAGCTGGGTTGAACGGGACTTCGAATCCCAGCTTTTTGAGGTATTTCCAGACTGACCTCCACAGTGGTTGCAACAGTCTGCACTCCCACCAACAGTTCAGGAGAGTTCCTTTTCCCCCACAGCCTCTCCAGCATTTATTGTTGGTAGTTTTCTTGATCCTGGCCATTCTTTCTGGAGTGAGATGGAATCTCAGAGTGGTTTTAATTTGCATTTCTCTAGTGACTATTGATAATGAACATTTTTTCATGTATTTGTTTGCGATTTGTATTTCTTCATCTGAGAACTGTGTATTCATCAAGGATGCCCATTTTTGGATTGGATCTTTGAATTTTGGGAGTCTGATTTTTTTGAAAAATCTTTGTTTTAGAAGTCCTTGGTCTGAAGAACAGTTCACTAAGATTTTTTCCCAGTTTGTGGGTTTTATTTTCACCATGCTGTGGGTTTTTTTTCAATGTGCAGGAACTTTTTAATAAGATGTGATCCTAGTTATTGATTCTGGGAAGTATTTCCCGTGTGATTTGATTCCTGTTCATGAATTCTCTACCTGCCCTTATGTCTTCAAGGTTTTTATCCAATATTTCTTCTAATAGGATTTAGTGTTTCTGTTTTAATATGCAGATCTTTGATCCATTTAGATTTTAATTTAATAAATGGTAATAGGCATGCGTCTAGTTTTAGTTTTGGACATATGGAGAGCCATTTATTAAAGAGACTGTCGTTCTTCTAGTGAACATGTTTGGCCCCTTTATCAAAGATAAGGTGATGTAGTGTGTTTGTAGTTATAGTTGTATCTTCTAATCTGTTCCATTGATCTTCAGCTCTTTTTATTGCAGTACCATGTTGATTTTACTACAGTTGTTTTATAGTATGACTTCAAGTCAGGGATTGTGATGCCTCCTGCTTTGCCTTTGCTGCTTATAACTGTCTTTGCTATTCTAGGTCTCTTCTTGCTCCAAATGAATTTTAAGAGTGATTTCTTTATATCTATAAGGTATGTTGGTGGTATTTTTATTGAGATTGCATTGAATCTGTAGAAGAGTTTTGGGAGAATGGCCATTTTCACAATATTTATTCTTCCTATCCATGAGCAAGGGATGTCTTTCAATTTTCTGAGATTGTCTTCAATATCTTTTTTCAGGTATTATAATTTTCCCTATATAGATCTTCCACTTCTTTCATGAGAATAATTCCTAGGTATTTCATTTTTTTTTTTGGATGCTAGTGTAAAAAGGGTGTGGCTTGTCTTATTTCTCTCTCTGTGATTTTGTTATTAGTGTATAGTAAGGCTGTTGATTTTTGAGTAATGATTTTGTATCCAGCTACATTGCTGAATTTATTTATTATATCTAGGAATCTTTCAATGGAGTTTTGGGGATCTTCTATGTAGAGTATCATGTCATTCGCAAATAATGATAATTTAACTTCCTCTTTTCCTATCTTTGCCCCTTTTATTTCTCTCTCATCTAATTGCTCTGGCTAGTATTTCTAGTACTATATTAAATAGGAGCGCTGATAAGGGACATCCTTGTCTTGTGCCTGGTTTTAAGGTAAAAGCCTTCAGTTTTTGGCCATTTAGTATTGTACTGGCTGTTGGTTTCTCATACATGGCCTTTATCATATTGAGGTAAAGACCATCTATTCCAAATTTCTGTAAGGTTCTTATCGTGAATGAATGTTGGACCTTATCAAAAGCTTTTTCTGCATCTATAGAAATGATCATGTGATTCTTACTTTTGGCTTTATTGTTATGGTGGATTAGATTTCTTGATTTACGTATGTTGAACCATCCCTGCATGCCTGAGATGAATCCCACTTGGTCGTTATGTATAATTTTCTTGATTATTTGCTGCATCCTATTTGCCAATATTTTTTTTTGTCTTTTTCCTTTTTATCGGTACCGGGGATCAAACCCACGACTGCCTGCTTGCAAGGCAGGAGCTTATGCCGCTGAGCTTACTCCAGCCCCCTAACTTGCCAATATTTTATTGAGGCTTTTTGCATCTGTGTTCATTAGGGAGATTGGCCTGAGTTTCTATTTTTTAGTTAGGTATTTCTCAGGTTTTGGTATTAGAGTAATTTTTGCTTCCAGGATGACTTAGGAAGGATTGCTTCCCTTTCGATTTCACTGAAGAGTTTGAGAAGTGTCAGCATTAAGTCTTCTTTGTATTTCTTGTAGAATTCCTCAGTGAATCCGTCTGGGCATGGGCTCTTCTTTGTAGGTAAGGACTTAATTACATTTTCAATTGCATTAACATAAGATAGGTTATTCAGCAATTTTACATGTTCTTGACCTAGCTTTGGTACTTAATATGTTTCTAGGAATCTGTCTATTTTTTCCATGTTATCAAACCTATGAGAGTAGAGTTTTTTGAAATAAGTGTTGATGATCTTCTGCATTTGTATAGCATCTGTAGTGATTTTGCCTTTTTTTTATTCCTTATTGCATGAATTTGAACGTTTCTTCCCTTTTTAAAATCAGGTTGGCTAAGGGCTTATAAATTTTATTTATTCTTTCAGAGAATCAACTCTTTGATTCATTGATTCTTTGGACTGTTTTCTTAGTCTCTATTGCATTAATTTTGGCTCTGATTTTTATAATTTCCTCCCTTCTTTTGACTTTGGGCTTGACTTGATTTTCTTTTTCTAGTTGTTTGAGATGTAACATCAGGTTTTTTATTTATATTCATTCTGTTTTCCTTATGTGGGAACTCAGTGCAATAAATTTTCCTCTGAGGGCCACTTCATTGCATCCCACAGATTCCAGTAATTTGTATTTGTATTTTCATTTTCTTGACGGTGTTGCTTCTTCTTCTTTAATTTTCCCTGTGACCCACTGATTGCTCAAGACTGTGTTATTCAATTTCCATGTGTTTTTGGGATTTTTGCAGTTTGTTTAATCATTAATTTTTAGTTCCATGGCCCTATGATCTGATAAGCATGGGATAATTTCAACTCTTTTGCATTTATTTAAATATGTTTTGTGGGCTAGTATTTGGTCTATTTTAGAGTATGTCCTATGTACTGCTGAGAAGAATGCATATTCTGATGTTGTTGGATGGAACACTCTATGTGTCTATCAAGTCCATTTGTTCACAAGTGTGATTCAGTTCTCTTATTTCTTTGTTGATTTTCTGTCTGGTTGACCTGTCCCTTGATGTCAATGGTGTGTTAAGGTCTCCTGTTACAATTGTGTTATTGCTAATTTGATTTTTCATTTCTATTAATACATGCTTTGTATAACTGGGTGCTCTGGAATTTGGTGTGTATATATTTAAGACTGTTATCTTTTCCTCTTGAAGTTTCCCTCTAACCAGTATGCAATGACTTTCTTTTTCTCTTTTGATCATTCTTGGTTTGAAGTTCACATTATCTGCAAACAGAATAGCTACTCCGCTTTTTTTTTTTTTTTGGCTTTCTGTTGCATGAAGTATTATTTTCCATCCTTTGACTTTCAGTCTGTGAGTATCCTTTTGGGTTAGATGGGATCTTTGTAGATAGCAAATGGTAGGATGTTTCTTGATTCATTCTGCCAGTTTGTTTCTTTTAATTTGTAAATTGAGACCATTTACATTAATGGTTATCACTGTTATATACTGGTTTATTGTTGATATGTTATCTTTATGCTGTTGCATCTTTATCTTTCCATCCTGTTTAATTGTCTGCTTTGCTTAGTGGTTTTTTTCCTAAGTGTATCTAGGCTGTCTTTCAGTAGTGTTTGCAGGGTTGGCTTGGTGATCATGAAGTTCTTCAGCTATTCTTGTTATGGAAGTATCTTATTTCTCCATCAATTTTTAAAAATTTTATTTAAGAAGAAAAAAAAAACAGAAAAAGGGTACAAGTTATACAGAACTTCAAAAAAACAAAAAGTAGGAAATCACTAGTTAATAGATTACATATTGTCATCTTAGAAATAGTTGTTCAAGTTACAAAATTAAAGCATATAAAGTGGACATTTAGACAGAGAGACTGTAAACAGTTCTGTTAAATGATCTAACAAAAACTCA